TCAGGAAGATGAAGAATTGTTTAACCAATCAGAAGCAATGTTCAATCAACAGGGGCAAAAAATGAAAGGGAAGATGATGATTCACATGGACCTTAATTTTTCCCTTTACTTTTCAGCTCTTATTTTACTATTCCTGAATAATACCTATTTTTACCAACACGTGACAAAAAAAAAAACAACTTAATTCGAAATTATATCGACTTGCTATGTCAAAACTGTGTAAAATTAACAGGATAATTTTAAAACTGGAATTGTGACCTCGTGTAGTGTGCATGACCGCATAGGTCTGGTGGGACAGTGATTTTACGCAAAACACCCGTGGGAACCATGGATTAGCGTTATCGTGTCAATGTGTACTATTAAATTTTCATTATCGTTCACTGGGGCAAGAGGACATTAATTTTAATTTTTTTTTTATGTTGGGATCCAAATACCCATTCAGAGCAGTTCCAGCGTTGAAGCCCTCCCCCTGGCAATGCACTATTCAATCCACCTAATGAACAGTAACTGCCCTTAATGAACAGTAAATAGCCCTGACAATAGAATTTGCATCTCCACCGTTACACTTCAATAGCCCTGACAATAGGCAATAAAATATTAGTATTTTATTTATTTATAAAATAATACAAAATAATTTTAATTGTAATATCGGATAAGATTTTTAATCGTTCTCGTTGCGCCACGTGTCATTATCCGAAGTATTATTAAATAATACAAAATAATTTTATTTGTAATTTCGGATAAGATTTTTAATCGTTGTCGTTACGCCACTTGTCATAAAATCCGAAAACACAATTATTGGGGATGGATTTCCGATAAATTTTTTAATCGTATTCGTTATGCCACGTGTCATTATCTGAAAATACAATTATTGGTGATGGATTTCTGATAAGATTATTAACCAATGACGTCGCGTCACGTGTCATAATCTGTTCACAATCTTTGAGGATAGATTTACATCAGGTTTTTAACGAATGACGGCATGCCACGTGTCATAATCTGTTCACAATTTTTGAGGATAGATTTCCATCAGATTTGTAACGAATGACGGCATGCCATGTGGCATTATGTACAACCTAATCTTTTCTGAATCCTCTATATAATCCACCATCCATCCTCACAAATCTCACACCAATTTTCTCAAAATCTCTATCATTATTCATAGTTTCTGCTTTCTTATTTACAAAAATCTGTATCATTCATAGTTTCTGTTTCTTTCTTACAATGTCTTCTTCTTCTTCCTCAAGGATGATGTGGGAATTCAATCAGGAAGAGGAAGAATTGTTTAACGAATCAGAAGCAATGTTCAATCACCAGGGGGTAAGAAATGAGAGGGAAAAGGATGAGGAGCGTCAAAGGAGAGATGACGAAGTAAGAAAGGGCAGAGCCTCACATTCCCGTCGAGTCATCCAAGCTGCGGCTCAGATCTGCAAGCCCAGGCGTTCCGGAAACCTTGATAGAAGCATGCAACGACGACATATGGAACTCTTGGATGATTATTTTGTTCCTAATAGTGTATTCCCTGATACGTACTTTAGACGTCGTTTTAGAATGGAACGACATTTGTGCAACAAAATCATGATTGCTGTTTGCAACCATGATTCTTATTTTGTGCAAAAGAAAGATGCTTTTGGTGCTATGGGTCTACTGCCTGAGCAAAAAATTACTGCTGCCTTGCGGATACTTGCATATGGAGCATCTGCAGACCAAGTGGATGAGATAACGAGGATGGGGAAATCAACCATTCTTGAGTCCTTGATGAAGTTTTGCGGAGCAATCGAATCTATCTACATCGCTGAGTACCTCCGTAAACCTACACACATGGACTTGGAGCGGCTGTTGAAGAAGGCGGAGATACGTGGCTTTCCTGGGATGATTGGAAGCATTGATGGTATGCACTGGACGTGGAAAAATTGTCCAAGTGCATGGCAAGGCGCTTACGGGGACAGAAAAGGAGCAAAAAGTATCATTCTGGAGGCGGTGGCATCTTTTGATACATGGATTTGGCACGCCTTTTTCGGGGTCCCGGGAGCTCAAAATGACATTAACGTCCTTGCCCAATCCCCAGTGTTCAACGATGTCCTGCAAGGAAACGCACCAAAAGTTACTTATGAGGTCAACGGACGTTTGTATGACGGGCCATACTACCTAGCTGACGGCATTTACTCGGGATGGTCAACATTTGTCAAAACAGTGCCACGTCCGCGGAGTGCAAAGGAAAAACACTTTGCAAGCTGTCAAGAGGGGTGCAGGAAGTATGTGGAGCGTTGTTTCGGTATCCTCCAAGCTCGCTGGGCGATCGTCAGGGGCGCTGCCAGATTGTTTGATGTAGAGTCGCTTCGATCCATCATGATGACGTGCATCATTCTTCACAACATGATTGTGAAAGATGAGTACGATTATGAAGCTGTTGATGAATAAAAGCCAGACCCGATGAACAATTCAAGAACACGTATATATTGTGCTCATGACGCCACTGATGAGCCCATGCAGCATGAGCCATTACAAAGGGATGGACGTTACAATGAAAGGCTCATTCAACGATATACTGCATTTCAAATGCTAGACATGCACAATACCCGACAAATTAACTTGATAGAGCACCAGTAGGCATTGAAACAAGCTGAAGATAATTAAGTTCATTTAGTGTGTTTTTTTGAATTTGGTATGTTTATGTTATTTTATTTGGTGTGTTTTATTATTTGGTATGTTTATGTAATTTTTTTATGTTTATGTAATTCTTAGTATATATAATTCTTAGTATGTTTATGTTTATGTTTATGTAATTTTTTAATGTTTATGTTTATGTAATTCTTAGTATGTTTATGTTTATGTTTATATAATTTTTTTATGTTTATATTTATGTAATTCTTAGTATATGTAATTTTTTTATGTTTATGTTTATGTTTATGTAATTCTTAGTATAAATAACTTACCAAATTAATTTGAATAAATATTCAAGAAATTGGAAACAACATAAATAATACAAACAATAAATAATAAATTACAACCCAAAGTGATTGGAAAATTATGGGCTCCGAATACAAAAAGTACTCTATTCATCATCACTTAACCAATTTGTGGTGCTAGGATGATCTTCTCTTGCGGTGCTAGAACCACCTTGACTTGCTATCGTTTCTCTTGCACACCTCCTTCGCACCACGTCCGCTTTCTCTGACTTCCAAAAAAATTTAGAATTTGAAGACTTCCCTTCTAAAGACATGTTCATAATCTCACGATCTTGTTGAGCCCGTCTTTCTTCTCTAACATGTTCCCTTTCTTGCCTAAGTAGCTCTCTTTCTCTCTCATTAGCATAAAATTCTCTCTCAACAGCTGCTGCTTTTGCTACCTCTCTAGCCTTATCAGCCTCATCTTTCACCATTTTCCTCGCCAAAGTCAATTTACCTTGGCGAGTAAGTTCTTCCATGAACTTTGCATAATCATTCTTGGAAGCACCCCCTTTTCTCTTTGAAGCCTTCTTACCTTGAGGCCTAATTGGATAACGGGTCGAACCCGACGCTTGTTCAAGGAGGGGCGTTTCGGGCACTTCTTCTGCATCATCTTCATGAACATCATCGGGTGTAGAGTGTAGAGGGGTGCTGTTCATGTGCACTTCTGGATCGACTGGCATAACTCTAAATTTAGGACAATCTTTGACAATATTCCAACATTCCCACCGGTTGAATGATTTATTTTTGCTTTTGGTTTTGGTAGCGTACCAAGCTTGTGCTTGAAGTTCCTACACAATAAAAATAAGTAACAAATAAATAATTATAATGAAAATAAGTAACAAATAAATAATACAAACAACATTATTATAATGTAACAAATAAGTAACAATAACATAATTATAATGTAACAAACAAATAAATAATACAAACAACATAATTATAATGTAACAAATAAGTAACAATATATAATAAATTTTGTATGTAACAAATAAATAATACAAACAATAAATAATAAATTATGTAGATAACAAATAAATAATACAAACAAATAATTATAATGTAAATTTGGGAATCAAATAAATAATATATTGTTACCTGATCTGAGTAATTTTCCCCACTTCGAATATTACTACTAGCTTGTGCCAAGGCGTCTCTCCAAGTACTAAACGATTAGCTAAGTAATTTCCAACGACTGACATCGATTCTTTGGTTCTTTTCCCACCAATTTTCTCAAGATAATTGGTATGAATAAGACTCCACATTTCTCGCAACTGCATCTCATTACCCGTAAGCGAACTATGAGTAACTTCAACCCAGCTAGTACACAACGCAACATCTTCAATAAGCGACCAATTCGTACCTGCACCAGTGGTCATTTTGTTGAAAAAAAATGGATTCAAACTTTGAGACAAAGAAAGGAATGTGATTGAAAGTAGTTGAGAAAATATGAAATTGTTGTGTAAGGTAGATGATAATGAGAAGGTATTTATAGAAAAGTAAAAACAATTTTTTTTACAATTTTTTTTCAGATTTTTCAGATATTTTTTTGAATTTTTTTGAATTTTTTTAAATTTTTATTCAATTAATTAATCTCTGCCGTTGGATGCAAAAAATTTTGAATTCCAACACTCCAGATTGTGCCACGTGTCACAACGGTAACTTTTCAGATTTTTAAAACTATTTTTTCATTTATTTTTTAATTTATAAAGCATTTTAATATCCACCGTTGATCTCAGATCGAACGGTGGATATTAAATCTGACTTAATTTTTTTTTTTACCGTTGAGATCGAACGGTCCAAGTTAAAGAGCCATTAAGATCTAACGCACCGTGGGTGTGACAGCCCTTCCCGAATTAACATTTTCATATGTGTGAAGTGTGTTTAATTATCCTAAATCTTTATTAAAGTTGGACGGTTTGTTTGATTGTGTGGAATGATTAAAGACAGGGCACTGTGCATACACGGGTTGCACGTTTCTTCTCCTTTTCCTTTTCCTTCCCGTGATTTCCTCAAACCTGTTTTCATTCTTCCTCTCTCCCCGTCAAGCTCTCTCTCTCTCCCTCACTCTCAAACACACGGCAACAACACCAATTCTTCAAAACTTCACGGATCGACGGAAATAAAATCACCATCTTCTTCGTTTCGACGATACGAGTCCAACCATACCAATTTCAGGTAAGAACTATAACGTTTTCACGTCGAAAATACGAACTCCGGTTTAGGTACTATTCATCAAATTTTTATTGGTTGATTTTTAGGACTTTTCAAGCTTATAGGAAGCTTCTTGAGGTCCTAAGGAGGCTTGGAGTAGTTCGTTGGAAGTGTTTGGACGTAAGAACACGGAGAACGACAAGTTCAAAGTTTGGCCGGAGCTTTCGAGGCTTTTTCCGGCGAATCCACGGCGAGTTAGGGGTCGAGGCAGGTATGGATGTGTTCGTCTCGTCAATACCTTCATTTTGATATAAAGTACGTCGAAAATGGTTAAGAAATGAAGAAGTTATGACACTTTGAAGTTTACCCAGAAATTCCGGCAAAACACCCACCTCCGGCGAAACCAGTCCGGCGATGCGAGGAAGAAGACGCGCGCGTGGGCAGCGCGTGTACAGGGCGCGTGGGGGCGCGTGAGAGCTCCAAATCGAGTTCTGAAAATTGTCACGCGTTCGTGACGTCGTGTAGATCACCGCGGTATATTCACACACCCAAATTGAGCAACATATGAGAAAGTTATTGACGAATGTTTGGTGTATGTGCGTTAAATAACGTCGATTTGGTTACTTTTTGTATAGGTGAAAAATTATACAGAAGAAGAATGTAACCAATCTAGGGGAGGCTCAGGGACCTACGAGACATCGATGTGATCTGTGAGTGGGCAGTTTTGGTTTCCATATACATATATACTTGACGTATTTCCCAGAAAACGTATTTTAAAAGAAATACGAATTAAATATCCTGTCATATATGCATCATATTTTAATATGTCCATTACCATAATTATGCATACTATTGCATGGTGCTGAGGAGGCCCAGGTAAGCTACATTTGATATACATTTGATATACCTTTGATATACGTATGAAATACCTTTGAAATACATTTGATATACGTATGAAATACATTTGATATACGTATGAAATACCTTTGAAATACATTTGATATACGTATGAAATACCTTTGAAATACATTTGATATACGTACGAAATACATTTGATATACGTATGAAATACGTTTGGAATACGATTGAAATACTATGGAAATACAAATGAAATATGATTGAGATGCGATTGTGACATGATCGAAATATGTTTGTGATATGATTGAGATATAATTGAGATACGATTGAGATATTATGCTGAATTATACGATTGTGATATGATTGAAATATGATTAAGATATAATTGAGATGCGATTGTGACATGATCGAGATATGTTTGTGTTATGATTGAGATATAATTAAGATACGATTGAGATATTATGCTGATAACGATCATGAGATATGATTGAGATATGAAGAATTATATGATTGAGATGTGATTGAAAGCTCATTTACTTGCACATGTATATAAGTGCTCCCGCCCAAAGATAGGGGCATAGCCTTCACGTGTATGTTCACCTCCCGCACCGCATGCTCGCCTTGGATCCAAGTTAGGTGCACAGCCTGTCGTATAGACCACTTATGTGGGTTCGACTTGTAGGTGACCCGCGATTTATCGCACAGCTTCACGTGATTGTAGCACTAGAGCATATTATGTTATATACAGTGATGAGTTGCAGACCACGCGAGGTGGTACTGAATGTGTGCAAGATATACATGATGACTGAGTTGATTATGATGAGTTGATTATGAGCTATATCTGCAGTCGATGACTGAGTTGATTATGATGAGTTGATTATGAGCTATATATGCAGTCGATGACTGAGTTGATTATGATGAGTTAATTATGAGTTATATATGCAGCCGAGGGCTGAGTTGATTAGAATGAAAGAGTATGAGCTATGTTTATAGCCGAATGTTGAATTGATTATATGTTATTCCATCATATTCACATAGAGATGATGAGCATTCTGTTATGATACTTGGCATGACATACATTCATATTGTCTAGCATAATTTCAGATATATTACGTATATGAGTATATACTTTATTTCTGGGAAACTATACTTGTTTTACGGCGAGGGGTTAGTATATTCAAAGAGAAAAGAAGGTTCTGAATAAGATTTGTTTTACTGACCCACTCAATTTTGGTTTTGCGCCCCCCCAGGTTCAAGAAGTGCAAAGGTGTGTGGTGACTACGAGGAAATTCAACGGTGTTCTGACAGAATGGGAACCAAATGAGGACTCACCTTCGGGTGGTTCATCTTAGAAGTTGTATATTTTAAAGCTTCCGAACTGTGTAAATGGTTACGTCACTCTCACGTGACAGCCAGCATGCCCTCCTTCGGGACGGGGTGTGTCAGTGGGAAGCCACGTGGCTTCCCAACAGTAACTGACGGATTCTTTTTTTTTTTTCTGATTTTTGTGTCGATGACGCGCCCTCACGCGCGGGTGGGGTGCACGCGCCTGACACAAAAAAAAAATTAAATATTGCGCTGACGTCACGCCCACCTCGGGCTCTCGGGCTGGCAATCCCCTACGGGCCCGTAGCTCGGGCCTCCCCCTTCCATCGGGCTACCCCACGCTGGAGGCCTCCCACCGGCCCTCGGGCCCTTGTTTTGGACCCTGTCCCCCGAGCAATACCCAACGGTGGGAATGCTCTTAGACTACACGATGGGTGCACCCATCATTTCAATCTGATGCCATCATTACCCAACTCTCTTTCTCATACACGACATCATCTCTCTCTCTCTACCCACTCACTCAACCCCTTATAAAAATATAAGTGTGCTAACTATACATCTTATTTTATTTCTCATACATCCTTGATAATTTATGTTCGTTGATTTTCTTCAATGCATCTGATCCGATGGTTAAAAATTAAAAAGGTATGTAAAAAGTAAAATAAGATGTGTGAATATCACATTCCTAAAAATATTCATCATTATTCTCACTCTTTCTCTTCCACGTTAACCCACATCATTTACACCATTATCTCAGATTCATCATTTCATCCCATTAGCCCTTCACTCATCCTCTCACATTAATTCTCACGCCCAGAAACGACAAAATTAGTTCACCGGAGCAGCCTTCCTAAAAATCTTATTTACTCTTCCGATCATGCTCTAGTTAGTAGCCATCCTAGGTGACACTAATTGCCACTAGAATAAGAGTGTCTTGTATTCAGAAATTATCAATCAGTATTCAAGCAGTATTGCTTTATATTGAAAGTACAATGCGGTTTACGAGTATCATATCTTATTGCGAAGACATCGGTTTATAATTCTATTGAGGCAAACATTACTAGAATACCAATGTTAAATGACAGCAAGATCGACATTCAGACAAATCTAGACAAATAAGGCAAACAGAATCACAATCTTGAAAACATAAGAGCAAGCCGTGCAAGAGAATTTAGCTGACATAATTTATGTCCATTGTTTGTACCATGTTTGACCAATCCTGAAACTACTAAGCACCGATCAACAACATACCGTCAAAGACCCACACGAATTTTCCTCCAACCAGGAGGCTAATCACAACATGACACATATCGATATCAGAAGCCAATCACAGCGCGACACGTGTCGATATCATAGGCCAATCACAACACGACACGTGTCAATGTCAGAACAAAGCTAGAAACTCTCTTCTATAAAAGGGGATCATTCTCCTACAATAATCCCTAATGTCATTTGTACTAAACTATTCACTAGAACTCATTGAAAGAGAGCTTGAACCTATGTATTTGTGTAAACCCTTCACAACAAATGAGAACTCCTCTATTCCGTGGACGTAGCCAATCTGGGTGAACCACGTACATCTTGTGTTATTTGCCTCCCTGTCTTTATTCATTTACATACTTATCCATATTAATGACCAGAGCAACCTAGCGAAGGTCACAAACTTGACACTTTTTGTTGTACCAAAGTCCTCGTAGATTTTGTGCATCAACATTTGGCGCCGTCTGTGGGAATCGCACTTATTCCTACTCTCTCCAGCTTTGTCAAGCTGGTTTCCACCATTTGCACACTTTCTTTCGACCAGGCACTCCTGTCCAACATGGGGAGTGAAGGAAGCCACAGAACGCAGAACGACACCCCCCTCGCACTTAGTGCAAAGCAACGAAAGAATGAACGAAAGAGGTTTGCTCTTCAGGCTAAAGTCAATGAGCTAGAGGCTCTGAACAACAAGATAGCGATAAAGAATGAGATCATCCAGGAGCAGTATGAGAAGGTCTTCGGAATGCTCCATGAAGCTAGGCATACTCAAACACACGAACTCATCGTTCCAGGGAAGTCAACCATCATCTGGGTGCCCCCCAACACGGGGGATCGCGTGCCTTCAACATGGATATCCCTGATGGGGAGCGAGTTACTTATCAAGGTGTTGATCAACATGAGACCTCTCTCGACCCAGCTGCTTTGACCGGAAGCATGAGAAGTAGAGGAATGCACCTTCTTGCAGAAGGAGTAGAATGATCAAAAGTCGTTTATCGTGACTGTCGAGACTTCCTGAGGCAACGTCGAGAGAACCCCATCCATATAAGCTCGAAGGTCAATGATCCAAGGGTTTCTGAAAGGTTTGGTCCTCTTCCATGCCCCAAGCCAATTGCCAATCTAGGGAATGAGCGACATGTCCTAGAGGAATATGAAGGTACGGGGGACTTGGGGGCGTTTCGACAGGCTCACTCAGGAAGTCAGTACGGTGAGTCCAAAAAAAAATCCCATGCCCTTGACCAAGCTTTCCTACTTCCAAGAGGAGATGGAGACTTACGGAATAAGGATCCGGCAGTACCTGACTCCACTCAGGATCCCCTTTTCCTACAACTCATTGAGGAAGTAAACAAGTTGAAGACCGAACGTCAAGCTGAAATACCTGACTGGAACCAACCTAGGCCTGGCCCTCTTACAAGGAGGATCCTCGTCACCTCCTCTAAGCAAAGACAAAGCAGAAGCTTGTCTTACAACTCTACATTGGAAGGGAAAACCCGATTGAACACGTTAACCTCTTTGAGTCCACCATGGCATACTGGATGCACACTGATGAAGAACAATGTCTTCTCTTCCCCTCTACCCTCTCTGGCGGAGCTCTGAATTGGTATTGCCGTCTTCCACCTGAGACAGTAGACTCATTTGAGGAACTGAGGAAACTGTTTGTCTTTCAACACATCTTCCAGACAGATCGCTTGCATTCCGCAGATGACTTGTACATTATTCGCCAGAAGCCGGACAAGTCACTACGAAAGTATGCAGGCTGTTTCAGCCATGAGTATTCTCGCTGCGCTGAGGTAGATGACGAAACCGCCCTCAAAGCCTTCACGGCAAATCTATGTGATTGTTTCTTTAAGTACATGATCAATGCCAACACTTAGAAGACTTACTCTGGGGTGATGGCACATGCTTACAACCACGCCTCGGCCGAAGCAAGGACATACCAAAGGACCCTCCATATGGTTAACCCCTATCAACAAGTGAGAAGTGGAAGTCAAGTTCTACCAAATGAGAAGATCTTAGCCATTCAGACACCTATTGCATCATCTCCTGCCTCATTTAGCTACTCGCTAACTCACCAGACGTATTTGTCTTTTGGTAAGAGGAAGAATTTTTACTCTCAACAAGCCTATTACAACAAGAGGGATGAAAGTTCGTATCAAGACAACTAGGGGTGAACGTACCGTTGACTATTATGACTATGGGGCCAAGCCTTACTTTTTCAAAGTGGAGGACTTGGTACTGAAGGAAATACTATTATAATAAGGCATACACATTACAAATGTTTTGACTCTCAACCACTTGAGATCTTTTGTCACACAAGTCATTCGACAAATATTTAAAGAAGAGGGAATTCAGATAACTTCTTCTGAGTCTTTTGCATTCCTAGCACTAGAACACTTAGTCTACGCTGACCTACCCGTATACTCCAACTCAGAGTTTCAACATGCGTACTTTGACACAAAGTATATGATACTAAGTGTTACAACCAACATGGTTCACATATCGAAAGCATGTATCCCTTCATGCATAGCAAAACATTCATAAGCATCACTCATGTCAATCAACATAAACATCATATATTCCAACACATACATACATAAGCCAACTGTGCTTCGAAAGGGTTCAACATACTTTGTGTCATTTGACACTTGCTACAATGTGCCTTGACACCTTGCCCTTATTCTCACCAACCAAGTGATGAAATGTGAAGAAAGAACTCATCTTCATGCCACCAACTAGGTGATGAAATGTACAACCTGTACTCTCCTTCATGCCACCAACCAAGTGATAAAATGTACAATCTGTACTCTAATATCATCCGGCAACTTGCCACTCATGCCACCAACCAGATGAAGAAGAAACTCATTTTCATGCCACCAAACAGGTGATGAAATGTACAACTTGTACTCTCCTTCATGCCACCAACCAGGTGATGAAATGTACAACCCGTACTCTAATATCATTTGACAACTTGTCACTCATGCCACCAACCAAGTAAAGAATGAACTCATCTTTGTGCCACCAACCAGGTGATGAAATGTACAACCCGTACTCTAACATCATTTGGCAACTTGCCATTCATGCCACCAACGAAGTGAAGAAGGAACTCATCTTCGTGCCACTAACCAGGTGATGAAATGTACAACCCGTACTCTAACATCATTTGGCAACTTGCCATTCATGCCACCAACCAGGTGAAGAAGGAACTCATCTTCGTGCCACCAACCAGGTGATGAAATGTGATGAAAGGTGATAAAAGAACTTACATTCGTACCACTAACCAAGTGATGAAAGCAACTCACCATTCATTCCACCAATCAGAAGACAAGTAGTACAACTTGTACATGCGACTCCTAGCATTCACAAATAATAAAAAACCCTCAAGCTTTACGACTCAACTAGGGGAGCACTTATGCCTAACAAGAGTTATAGTCACCAACAAAGTCTTATTACAAGCCAACAACGGCTTCAGTGCATGGTATACGAAGATCAAGCTCTTTAGCCCTCTTACATTTGCTTCAGACATTTCTCCTTTGTAACAATGCAAACACTACAACTCGTAGAAAGTTTCACACACTCTTGATCAAGACTGTTCGAAGCAGATTCAATTTATATGGTTCATCCAAACCTTCGACTACTACAAGGTGTGGCTTGCCTCACAATCTCTTACTCAACTGTTTTCCACAAAATTTGTATATTTTGTCACTCCCACATGTTCAAATTTCTAATTTTTCCAAAAAAAAAAAAAAATTGGGAAATTCAACAACTTTAACAAATGTCAAAAGTCTCACACACTCTTGATCAAGATAGTATGAAGCAAAATGAATTTATGGTGCCAACAAAAACTTCAACAAGTGAATGGCAACAACAATTCTCAAAAGCTTCACACACTCTTGATCAAGATAGTGTGAAGCAAAATCAATTTATGGTGCCAACAAAAGCTTCAACAAGTGAAGGGCAACAACAATTCTCAAAAAGCTTAACACGCTCTTGATCAAGATAGTGTGAAGCAAAACCAACTTATGGTGCCAACAAAAACTTCAACAAGTGAAGGGCAACAACAAATGTCAAAAGCCTCACACACTCTTGATGAAGATAGTGTGAAGCAAAATGAATTTATGGTGCCAATAAAAGCTTCAACAAGTGAAGGGCAACTACAATTCTTAAAAGTTTCACACACTCTTGATCAAGATAGTGTGAAGCAAAATCAATTTATGGTGCCCAACAAAGCTTCAACACCAAAGTTTCACCTACAAATGTTCAACTCTCAACTACAAAGCTTCAACATTAAACAAAGCTTCATCAATGGAGAGCAACTACAATTCTCAAAAGCTTCACACACTCTTGATCAAGATAGTGTGAAGCAAAATCAATTTATGATGCCCAACAAAGCTTCAACACAAAAGCCTCACCTACAAAGTTTCAACATCAAATAAAGCTTCATCAATAGAGAGCAACTACAATTCTCAAAAGCTTCACACACTCTTGATCAAGATAGTGTGAAGCAAAATCAATTTATGGTGCCCAACAAAACTTCAACACCAAAGTTTCACCTACAAGGTTCAACTTTCAACTACAAAGATTCAACATCAAACAAAACTTCATTAATGGAGAGCAACTACAATTCTCAAAAGCTTCACACACTCTTGATCAAGATATTGTGAAGTAAAATCAAGTTATGGTGCCCAACAAAGCTTCAATACAAAAGCTTCAACACAAAAACTTCACCTACGAAGCTTCAACACAAATGATACATTGGAGAATACCATATTCAAAGGAATGTAATGGTTGGTTCATTTAATCAAACATGGGAACTCTATGTGGTGCATGAATACATTGAGTTCCAAGGGTAATGCATTGGATGGTGCATGAGTGGTTCAACTTCCCTTGATAGTGGAAAAGTTAATTCTTGGACTCACTAGGATTTTCCATCCATGCATATGAATAGATGATAGGAGCATATTTAGGCGACTTACTTAGCTTGTTTTCGTGCATTTATATTGTTAATTCCTAGTTGTTTTAGTAGTTTAAGCCATTTTCGTGTGTTTTTAGGTTCATATGGCTAAGGAAGCAAAAAGATGCATTTTGGAGCATTTTGGAGCAAAATTAGACTTGGAATGGATAGCTTATGTTTGGAGCAAAAGGAATAGACGAAATTAAAGACTCCAAGTTTCAGCAATATCAAGGGCTCCTACCTATTCTAGGTCACAAAACTTGTAACCTTAAGCAATGCCGTGTGTTTCCTTGTGTCTCCCTTCCTTGCCATACAAGGAAGGGCTTTGTTCCCTATTTTAAACACTTAAACACCTTACTTTCTCATACCTATTTCAGCCATAGCCCACATGCACTCTTAATCATTCATCCATTTTCTCCCATTTCTATATCACACAACCATTGCCGTGCACATTCACCCCTGATTCCAGCCATCCCACTTCATCATTTCAGCCACCATGACATTATTCCTTCATCATTGCACCACATTCCAGCCTTGCCGTGCATAACCCACCACATAAATCATCACATGCACCCAAACAAGCCTTTGCCGTGCATAACCTTGGCAATTCCAGCTTTCCACCAAGCAACCTAGCTGTCATTCCACATGCATTCCCCTTGCATTTCCAGCCATTCCATTTCATTATTGCAGCCACCATTCACTCTTTAATCCACATGCATTCATCATCATTCACTTTAGTTTTAATTCACATGCAAACACATGCATTTCCAGCACCAAACTTCCCTTCATTGCCGTGCAAAACAGCACCAATTTTCAGCTTTCCACCAACCAACTTAGCTGTCATTCCACATGCATTCCCTTCTTAATCATTGCAGCCACATTCTCTCACATTCTCACCCATTCTCTCCCTATAAAACCATGCAATCCCATCACACAATTCATTCATTCCACACCTCCATTCATACACAACACAACAACAAACAACAACAAACAACAAGCTCGCCGTGCCTCCCCATTTCATTTCCAGCATTCTCCCCATCCCTCCAAAACAATACCCAACCATTCCCCAATCCATTCCACATACACAATACACACCAACAACATCCCTTAGACCTTGTGCCACAACAAAGAGGAAGAGAAGAGTGCCTAAACGTTCATACAATTCAAGTTTGAGTTGTTGGAATTTTTAGGTGTTTCTTTTCCTCGATTTCAATGGTTAAATTTACTTATCTTTGTTTTGTACGTATGAGGAACTAAACCCCCCATTAGCTAGGGGGTGATTCGAAACCATGTTTATGCTTGCAATATGAATTGATTACCTTTGGTTGGAATTTCATGAGTTGTGGATTCAATTTGTTTAATTGTTTGATTGATAACCTATTTATGTATGTTTATTGAGAGTGCACGCTTAATTTTCATGCATGAATATGACGCTAGAATATAAGTGAGTTTCACCTAATAGTTATGAACTTATATTCACAAGTAGTGGAGGTTTCTTATAAACAATCGCGTTAAGTAAATTCTTGGCATAAGTTTCATGCAATTCATAGTAACGAATGCCTCGTCAACACTTATAGTTTTCAAAGAACTTAATGATTCTTGCTTGTATCTCTATTATGCAATTCATGTAGGGAACTTGTGGGGAATGCTTTGGGTTGTCGTATGTAATCATCCAATTCAATAACTTAAGGAAAACTTGACGGTTAATTTAAGCGGACCTAATTAACCCGAGGTGTTGAGTTTCATAATTCATCGAAAGACAAACCGAAAATCATCTTGTATGCAAGTGTAACATGTGTGGAGAAGAACCTTCTAGCTAGCATTCATCCATATTTTCATCACATTCATATTTACATTTTGCCCTTAATTACAATCTGTGCATTTGAGTTTAATTTCGTCCAAATCCAATCCCCCTTTACTTTGTTGAGTCATAGTAGTTAGAAATCAATTTAGTTTGTGTTTTTAGAATATGGTTTAGTTTGGTGTCTTATATTGTGTTTTTACGTTTTTGAGTCAAATCCAAGTGATTTTGCAATCCCTCCTAATCCCCGGCCTAGAACGATCTCTACTTACATACTTACTACAAATGATAAAAAGAGGGTTAATTTGTGTGCGTATAATTCTCGCATCAATAGAGGTGGCGTTTCACCATTGTAGATCATCCAAAAGACTAGGAGTGAGAGTTCTAAGAGTTGTTCCACTCCAAGGTTGAGAGTGAGCGTGTTCCACCATAAATTTGAGTCAGATTAACAGTGTAAGAGTGTTATATTTTCTTGTATTCATCAACTAGGTACTTTATTAGATTTTAAATAGAAATATGTGCTCCATCTAACTAGATGTTGGTTGATATGTGGAATTGATAGCATGTATGCGTATAATTATGTTTAATGTGTGATGATCATATTGCAGCACGTAGTTGTGGTTTATGAATGATCCTACTTGGTATATCCGCGATGGGGGACCATATGTATTCAGGGATGATCATGCTTGGTATATCTGCGATGGGTGATCACTGCCTGCATGATGAGTTTATGCCTATGGTCCTGCTTGGTATACTCGCAATGGGGGACCATACGCATTCTAGAGGTGATGATTAGTTGTACATGGTACATTTTTAGGCGACCATATTTGGTTTGGTTCCGTTAAGTAGTCCGAAACTCGAGGTTGTTGAATTTAGTGAAGTGGCCTAAAATCTCATTGTTTGAAGAAGTAGGCTTGGCCTAACTGTGTCACTCTAGCCTTTGTTTTATATATATATATTTGTGACAATGGTTTCGAGAATGTTGTGAATTGGGTTAGAAAAGATGTTGGACGTCTGAGTGACTCCTTCGGGATTTTCTACGATTCGATTATGATTTCATAAGGTATGAATTTAGAAGATATGAGAATGATTGTTATTACTTTGATCAAATTAATTAATTAATACGGCTAGAGAATGGTTTTGTGTTTCGTCGGCTCTTAAATATGATGTGTGTTGTGAATTGCGATATCATGATGAGACATAATGATTTATATGTTGGATGAGAGAGAAATCATGTTTTCATGGGGATGGTTATGTAGTCTGAGTCCAGGAATTACATGTTGTTAGGTTATATTGAATGATTGAGAAATACTATACTTTTCTGCTTGAACTTAGTGGATTAAACGTCTGATTTTGTGATAGTGAACTACGAACGACTTGATCCCTATTAAGAATACGTAAGCAGTCTAACGAAGAGGTTAGATGCAGCCAAAAGGTAAATGAAAAATTTCTTTGCAATTTGATTCTCGGATTGTGATCTGCCATATTCCTAAGACGGGTTATGTGAGATATACGAGTATTTGGATGATGTCACATGTCGGTCCTGGACGTATGTCGGGATCGGGGCATGACATTATTTCTATCAAAAATCACTCAAATCCCAAATCATTTGACTGTTAATTTAAATAGTAGTCATGTTAGTAACTCTTTGAAAAATTGTATTCGTATTCATCTAGGGTGAGCTTATTACAACAAACTATCTCGAACTGAATTAATTTCAAAAACTAAGCTAGATTAATTTAGTATAGACTAAATTAGACTAATTTAATAAAGCTTTTAATACAATATTAAAGTAGAAATTACAAAAATTTCTCCTTTCCATTTTCTTCCTTTTACTTTTACTTTTTCTTTTTCTTTTGCCTTTTTGTTTGCCTTTTTCTTTTCTTTTTCTTTTTTATTTTCTTTTTATTTTTTATAGAACTCTATTATTTTCCATTATTTTCCTTTTACTTTTTTATTTTCTTTTGCTTTTTCGTTTGCCTTTTCGTTTTCTTTTTATTTTCTCTAGAACTCTATTTTCCATTTTTTCCTATACTTTTTCTTTTTACTTTTACTTTTTATTTTTCTTTTGCCTTTTCTTTTTCTTTTTATTTTTTTCTAGAACTCTCAATTATTTTTCCTCCATATGTTTCTCCCAAGTTGCATTGCTCTTTTTCTCTCTCGGTTGCACACACGCGATTGAAATTATCATCACAAAAAATCAAGACTTAACATTGCTATTACAAGAATTGCAAATCTTTACAGGCATCCTAGTATTTTTGTGCAGAATTTGTAGTCGGATAATTAAATAATAAAGTTTCATATCGCAAAACAATGAAAAAAACTGTTAAATTAATTGAATAGGTATAAAAGGAATTCAAGTACAAATTGTATGACACATTGATGGAAAAGAAATAGCACGTGTGGAATGGATCCAAGAAAGTAGAGTTCCTCTACAAATCATTCGGGTCAAACTGATCATTGTTCCTCCAAAATTCCCCATTCCCCCAAGAAACCCCAATTCCTTCCTCTCAATCCCCTCTCTGATCCTACGATTAATTCCAATTCCGTCATCTTGAAGCTGGAACAAGCTTCCTCTCTCTTCCCCTTGCCTCTTTTGCCGTCCAACTCCCTAGGTGGTAAGCAGATTATGATTGGTAATCACATTCTGAGTGGTAACGTAAATCTAAGATTTTAGGTCATGGAGGGTTGCGGTCATTGAAAAAACCTGCTTGAGACGAATTTGGGGAAGACAAGTAGGCATCCACATATAGTCTTAACTAATACCATGTTTTCAGTCGGGATTAGCTAGCAAGGAACGAAGTGAAGCAAGTATGAGCTAGCGTCATTTAAGTTATATTTTGCTGCGCCAAACATGCGACTACACTAGTTGTTAGTATAGCCCAATCTAGTTCAATAAAAACTAGTTTGTCAAGCAAACAAATTTTTATTTTCTTTACTATAATTGGATGTCTTAACGGTATTGAATTTGTCTTATTTTTTTGCAATAATAATCTATAATCTTAATGTCTAAAATACAAATAATTTAAGTCGATGAACAAAATTCCGGAATAAGCACCACAACTTGTCCCTCAAATAAAATTATGTGAAGATCCCTTAACTTCAAAGGAAGGAAAGAGACAAAGAAGTATATTTGCCTATTTATCCAGCTCTCCATCTCCTCCCTCTTTCTTTCTTTCTTCCTCTGCAAATCTTACATCTTGTAAATTGGGGAATTAGGCGTGGCCTGAAGGATCAAGCAGGTTTTTTCCTCTGTTTTCGATTAATAGTTTATTTGCTTTTATGAAAAGCCATCGTGTTTCATTTTACCTTGGGCGAGCGGATCTGCGCACTTCGATCCAATTATGTACATAGAAAAGCACTACTCTTTTTTTATTGACTGAAATGAAATGAAGAAATGAAGGGTGATCTGACTTGAATTAATCATTAATTTTGCAGTAAGCGGTTATGGATACAAGTACATCCCTTGAAGCCTCACCTCCATCTTCACCGTCCTCCTCCTCCTCCACCACCTCCTCCTCCTCACCCTACAATGTGTTCTTGAGCTTTGGCGAAGACACGCGCAAAACCTTCACGGACCACCTCTACTGGACAATGAAAGACGCCGGAATTGACTTCTTTATGGAGGAGAACGAGTCAATAAGAAGAGGTGAAAATATATCAGACAAAGTGAAGCAAATAATCGAAGAGTCTAAGGTTTCGGTCATCGTCTTCTCAAGCATGTATGCGGATTCCATCTGGTGTCTTGAGGAGCTGGTGCAGATCATGGAGTGCAGAAGAACACTGAAGCAAATGGTTCTGCCAATATTCTACGATCTTAGTCCGTCAGATGTATTAGGTAGTTTTTTACTAGCATTTCAGAAGCATATAGAGCGCTTCCATGAAGATACAGATATACAAGAAAAGCTACGGCGGTGGACAGATGCTCTTACCGTATCTGCAGGTTTGGCCGTCTGGACAGATGCTCTTACTGCAGTTGCAGGTTTGACAGTCTGGACAGATGCTCTTACTGCAGCCGCAGGTTTGCCAGCCCGGGTTTTCAGAACGACTAATGGGTAAGCACGTACTTTTCTCTGTTGTTTGTTCATTATTTCTTTAAATCGTCATTAACAGTCATGTTTAGATTTGAGTTCTCTATCATTTATTTTTTATTTCTTTTTCAATCCAATTCTTCTCCCGAAATTCTCCTTCTAGATTTCATCATTTTCTCTAAATTTAATGTCAAAGTTGAATTGCTAGAGTTCAAGGCTTCTGAAGATGTATGAGCTTGTTTTCTAATTGTTTCTCCTAGATGTGCTCGTTCAAATGGGGGCGGTGGTACTCATGATTTAGGCTTCGTTTGACAGCTTGAACTGTACTGATTATTTCAGTTGAATATGATAATTAGTTATCAGATAATATTGACTAAATTTGTCCGGCATTTGGTGCTCTAACAGATTAAAATGTTGACTATTTAATACAATGTTTGATATTGTGCAGATTATCAGGCTGTAATTATTTTTTATGCAAAATTAATTTTAAAAAGATAATTGTTGAGAAGATAAGTTATAAATCTAATTTTAGATAAAAATTTGGGTGCCTCAACTTTGACTAATCTCACCCAAAATAAAAACTTTATCATTATACTTCCAGATTTGCCCAGACCTTTGCTTCTCACACAGAAAAGCCAAAAATTCTCCATCTTCCTGGTGGGTAATCTCATGAGGCTGATGGTTTTTTCAGTAGTTGACAATAAATGTTTGAGATGAACTTTGAATGTTCTTTTACCAGCTAAAAATTTTGTATTAAGCCACAGAAAGTAGAGAATTTGTGAAAGGAGGTAAAAACTTAAAAGTCAAATACTAATTTATTCCCCACGTCTTTGTGTTGTGTGTATATATAAATAAATAAATAAATAAACTTGTTAAAAAGTTCTAATGGCTTAAATAAGAAACACAATTTTACATGACTTATTTTGACTGAAAAAACTTAGTGAGATGATTAATTAATAATTTTAGAAAATTAATATGAAAAATCACTTAAATTTTTTTTAAAAAAATTTTCAAATGACAAATTTAAAAAAAAAAAAAGTTTGGGTTTAGAGCAACTCCAAATGACATGTTAAAAAGTCCACATCAACAATAAGTGTAAAAAATAAAAATGACATCATTAAGTGTAAAAAATGATAACACTAGTATTTTCCAACTGAAATTTTGATTGATGTGGGATGGCAGCAAAGATAGCTGCTGTCAAATTTAACAACAACTTCGTATAATTTTTAATTAATTATTAAATGTTTTTCATCACCAATATAATGTTTAAATATTTTTTTATACCTTTTGGTTCATTATCTTTCATTATCAATGCAAAAAAAATAAATATGAATTTTTATTTTATATTTAAAATTTGACATATCAGGTGGAGTGATATCAAAGTATCATAGAACTATCAATTTAAATTTTATGTTCAAAATTTGACGTTCCGTTTTGAAGATGATCTTATATGTCATTTCAAAAACTTTAAAATACTTTTTAAAATTTATTTAATCTTTGCAGTTGCTAATAAATCTTATGTACTTTTGCTTCATTTTCAAATATAACAACCAGGTATGAAGGAATGTTTATCAGGGTAATTATTGACGAGATCGCTAAACTACTCCAAAGCCCGACTCCAATTGAAATAGCATTTACGGACAGCGTTAAGTCTCCCCTTTCTACACCGCCGGGCAGGTTAGATTCTCCCGAGCTCGCATTATCTCTCATGTCCAGCGCTAAGTCTCCCCTTTCTACGCTGTCGGGCAAGTTAGATTCTCCCGAGCTCGCATTATCTCTTATGTCCAGCGCTAAGTCTCCCATTTCTACGCCGCCGGGCAAGTTAGATTCTCCCAAGCTCGCATTATCTCCTATGTCCAGCACTAAGTCTCCCCTTTCTACTACGCCCAGGTCCCGGAGCTCGCAGTACCGGGGCGTCACGTTTTATCGAAGGACAGGGAGATGGGAATCCCATATTTGGTTAGTGTTTGGTTACAATGATACTGATGTATTATTGCTCTGTTTGGATACTCTGATTGTGTACTGAATTTGAGTCCTCTCGCTGTCTTTTTTTTTTGTGTAGGGATTACGGGAAACAAGTGTACTTGGGTAAGAAAAATGAATCAAAATCCACCATTTAATTGCTATTATTATTATTTTTTAATTTCTGGCAGATTATTTTTAATTTTTGAATATTTTTTAGGAGCATTTGACACTGCCCATGCTGCTGCTAGGTAAGAACTAAGAAACTCAGAAGTGTCAACCGTAAAACTTTCAATGTAAAACTTGGTTTCCAAGCAGTTAAATTTTTGCGTAATTTTGTGGTTGTGGTAAAATGGATCTTAGGGCGTATGATCGAGCTGCGATCAAGTTCCGCGGAATTGAGGCTGATATTAATTTCAGTGTCAGTGATTATGAGGATGATATTAAGCAGGTCAGTTTTCCGAGTGCATTGTGCATGTAGGAAAGGGAATCCCTAGAGCCAACTGAGCAAAACATTTGTACCCTTGAAATTTGATCCAACGGTTAAAAATAAGGGAGCCCATTAAAAGTTATTATAACTTTAGCTATTGGATCAAATTTTAAGGACGTATATTTTTTGCTCAGTTGGCTCAGGTGGAAGCAATCTAGAGATGATCCCTTTTCGTGTATGTTATGTGAAGACTTTTACTGGTTTTGTTTTGTTTCTTTCGATTTGGGATTGATTTTTATTGCAATGCAGATGAGTAATCTTACAAAGGAAGAGTTTGTGCATATCATTCGTCGTCAGAGTATTAGACCTCTGAGAGGAATGAAGAACACAAGTAATAGCAACTGTGAAGCTAAGATAAGCATCGAAGAGAGAGAGAGAGAAAGCGGGAATGAGAGTAATATTGATCATGAGAGTGGTATTGATCAGCAGCGTGTTATTGATCGGAACAGTGAAAGGTTACGCCAAGGGACAAAGAAACATTTACTTTCTATATTGTACCCTGGATAGGTAAAGTAGTACCATTGTCAATTGTAATCTTTTCAGAGCCTTCAAATGGCATAACCTCTGATAACCCAGTCATATAGCTGTCATATGATGAGATGCCCCAGAGTCAACAATCCAAGAGTTTGCAGGTAATTTTTAGAGTTAGTCAGAAAAACTGGATTTCCGGCAGGTCAAGGCGATTTTCAATGTCTTCCCAACCGAATTGGGCTTCATCCCAGGTATGAAAGTTGTTCCCCTTGTTTTCTACAAGTCTGTAAAATTTGGTAATTTTTCGAGTTTGTCGGAAAATTAGGTTTCCGTTCGTCGCAAATCGCCAGCTACGACAGCACGTGGCCAGTGGGTTGATGCTGCCTTTTTACGCAGATTTTGATATTCTGAATTTGTTTTTGGGTATCCATTTGATGTGCTTCAATTGCTAAATATGGTATTGAATATTCCTCCACTTGAATATTTTAGGAAATGGATTAAAAATGAAAGGTGAACTACAAATGGCTTGATCCTTATTGAGGGTACGTAGGTAGTCTACTAAGAAGTTAGATGTAACCATAAAATAACTGAAATTAATCATTTATTGAAAATTTGTCTAAGAAAAGGAATTGGGTGATTAGTTTAAAAATAAATCTTAGGGTTTAATTTCTTTGGGTCTACCATAGTAATTATCTTCCGAATTAAGAAATTGGGTCGTTACATATATTCCCTTGAATCCACCGTGAAAAAGGGTGATTTACTATCTTTTCTAGGGATGATTTAGAAAATCAATTTCCCTAATGAGCAAGCCTGGCAATGTGTGCTTGTAGGTACAAAGTCCTTACTTCAGGTAAGGAGATGCGTAGTGGCATCATTGTTCAACCTAAGTTTCCCAAAAGGTCATTTCAAAGCAAGTAAACTAGTTGAATCACCCGGCCCCAAGCCGACCATATGTGTGTTGTTATGTTCCTTCCTAGTGCTAAAATATGTTTAGTATAATGGCACAAGTAAGGGTGTCGAATCCACAGGGACTAATTGGACCTATACAACCACTTGTTCTGCAAGAACCCTATTAGATAATAAAGCTAATCAATTTAGACAGATTTGTTGGTGTAACTTGGAAGCACAAGAAAATGAAGTAAACACAAGAAAATGAATCAACAAATAATAAAATGGGGTAACACCAATGGAGATGAAACTAGGGATTCGATTTCACCATTGCTAAACCAAGTCCATGTTTGTTAAGTCAGTTTATACTCAACCATCTACCTATTTCTTGAGTTTGTTTCACTTAGATATGATCAACCATATGATGTGTGGATTTGATCAAATGTTCCTAATCATGAACCTAATTGTGATGTGCAACTTTGGTTCCTAATCAAGAATGTGTCACACACAAGAAACTTTCATAAAACCAAAGGAAACACTCGGCAGGTTGTTTGCAAAACATTCCCTTCATTCATTCACATATCCACCAAGAATATGCATGATGTGTGCTTTAATCTTGGCTAAACAACCTGTGGTTAATTCAAATGGTGATCAAACATTAAAATCAACACACAAAGTCACAATTAAATTAGGGAATGAAACAAGAAATAGATGGGTCAACTGAGCATTCTGAATTAACTACATGGCAATCTTGCAAGGCTACATCGAATCCCTAGAAAGAGATTAGTTACACTTCATGTTTACAGAATGTTTGACATAAAAATATACAACATGAGTGAACATAGAATTAAGGAGAAGGAACCCTTGAAGCAAGACTGATGTCGAAATCCCTTTAGGGTGGCCTTCGGCGTTGGCTCTCCAAGTGTGTTGTAAATGAAGGTGGAGAGGCTAGGGTTGAATGGTTTCTGCAAATGGGAGAGAAAATGGACAGAGGTGGAGCAGCTAGGGTGTGGGAATAATGGAATGAAGCCAAGAAGAAGTTGTTGAAATGCTTAATTCGCTTGGTTTAAATAGGGGCTGGAAAGATGCATAAAAGGTAAGTGTTGATGGTGATATAAAAGGCTAGAATATGATTTAAAGGTATTTCTGAGAATGGCATTTGTTTTGAACTTTGTTTCCTTATTTTCCACCTCCAAATCAGGTTTTCACTACTTTAAAATATGGCTGAGAGGATGACAAACAAGGTAAGTGTGTAAGGTGAGTTAAATGGCTCAAATCTGATGTAAATGGTATTTCCACATATGGCATGTGTTTTGAGCGTTTTTTTCTTGTTTTCACAATTTGCAAATCAGGTTTACACCTTCTTGCCTTGTGTGGAACCACCAAATATGACTCCAGCGTTTTTGCCTTGTTTAGAACCACCCAATATGGTCGAATTGCACCACTTTCCTTCCACATCTTTTCCTGAAATTCCAGCAGCCAAATTAGTCCTAGATTCCTCATTTGGACTCCAAATTAACTCCCCAGAATCCTCTCCACGTTTGGAATAATGCTCAGCTACCAAAAGGAGTGTTTTTACTTCATTTGCCTTCCAATTGATCCTATTACACACTTGGCTGCACACTAACACCAAATAATGTAAAATGCAACCAGTTTAATTCAAAAACATCACAAAGAAGCCAAATATGGAAGATATAAATGCATGCAATATGTGAGTTATCAAATACCCCCAAACCTGGTTTTTGCTAGTCCTCGAGCAAACCTAAAACTAAAAACACACAAAACACTAACATCTAACTAAACCACTTTCGCTGGCCAAACGATTGCACTTAGCATGTGCAACAAGCCTTTGAACCCCTAGGTGTCCCTAGTTGGAGAAGTTGTGTCTCCTGAGGGCTTACAGTGATGACACCCACAAACATCTACAAAATCTGCAAACAATTTGGTTAATACATGCTTTAAACAAACTAATAAGAACCAATGAAAACTTTGTCATACATTCAAACTCAAAAGTTTGCCACTTCAAAGAATCGTATCAACTGTAAAGTATAAAGATATTTCTCCATGTCTTACAACTTCAAGGTCACCATACCCAAATGCTTAAGATAGAATTCGCCTCAACTCTACTCCTCACAGATTCCACTCAAGTTTTCACTCAGATCCTAAGGTTTAGTCTCTCCACAAACATATATGAGTGAAATTATGTAAAGGGAATCAAAATTCTCACATATGAAATCTGAAATAAAAGCACAATTTCTGAGTAGATCTCATGAAAGGAATCGAATGCTAAGAATATAGATAACACACACACTTACCATCACCCATGAATACATCCTCAATGATCAGCTAGGTCTTTCTCAAGATTGTAATGTAAAGCTTAGGTTATGGGTTACGAAAGAAGTGATATGAAATACTAGAGCTTGGGGCATACCAAAGTGTCCCTGTTGTGTATTCCTGGCATTGATAGATGGTGGTGAAGGATTTCCCTGAAATGCATAGTTTCCTCTGCGTAAACACTCAAGAGCTGAGTGCCCCATCACTCAACTAGAAATCCAGTTGTATGAGCATTATTATTATTTCTCTGATAGCAGTTTGCAGCTGTATGCCCTCTCTTATTGCAAATTTGACACTCAATGACAACATTAGTTCTTGTATATGTGTTTCCAGACTAGCTAGAGTTACCATTTTGCTTGAAATTCTTGCCCTTATATCCACCATTATTTATGTAATTGTTCTGCCTTTTTGAACCATTAAAATTTCTAGGACCATACTGAACTCTGTTCATATTAGACTGCTGAGAATTAGACCCTGATGATGAAAAACCTCTCATGTTACCAGCAAAACCATATCCGAATGGCGGTGGATAAAATGGAACTGGTTGTTGAGGCATTGGATAAAATTGAGGTAGTACAAGATATTCTGGTTGCTGTGGATTTAAGTATGGAACTTGAGTAATGACACCTGTTATGGTAGCTGGAATATGACTATGATTTTGAGGATTTGAAGTAGAACCATAAATAGAAGAACTTGAAGTCCCAGAGTTAGAACTAGAACCATAACCATTCATATACAATGTGAACAGATTCTGAGACAAAAGATTAGTATCCCCTTCAATCTCTTTTTCAACACCAAGCAACTGAGCACGAAATTCTTTCAGTGTGTTGGAGGACTCCTTAGCTAAAATGAATGTTTGAATGATAGCATACTCCTTGGGTAAACCAGCCAATCTAGCAATAATGGCATCATTATCTGAAATGAATTCTCATGCAGCATTAAGCCGATCTCTAATGTTTTTCAATCTGAACAAGAACTTATCAATTGACTCTGTTCCTTTTTGAATTGTATGTAACTCAATTTTCATGTGATTCACCCTTGACTTAGACACAGATGCAAACCTATCTCCCATATTAGTCTAAGCATCAACAGCATTCTTACAGCCAAGAACACATTCCATGGCTTCATCATATAGAGTAGCTAGAAGAAGACCAAGTAAAGTCATATTAGTAGATTCCCAGTCTATAAATGCTTGTGTAACCTCCTTAGTCACACCTAAATCCATATGAATGGCAAATTTAGGTGGACAGACATCTCTGCCATCGAAATGACCAAAGAGATTGTAACCCTTAAGCACTTACATGAATTGAAAATACCGTTTTGCAAAATTGTCATCCTTCAACTTAATGGTAAGCATAACAAGAAGACTATCAACTTTTGATGTAGTCATGATTTACAACAGAACAATTAATCCACACTGCTTTCTGCACAAATTAATTCTTCATTCCAACAAGAGATCGACACTCTTTGAGATTTAATAGCAAGAAAGAAAGACTGATTCTTTCTGATCAAGAAAGACTGAACAAGAAAGAATGTCACTTGCTTGAAATCGCACAATTTCTACCAAGAAAAACTGATACTTTCTAGAGCACACAATATTCAACAATCTTATGAACCTCAATAGTTATCTAATGCAAACACTTCATCCAGTAAGAGAAAACAACATGCCCAAACTTCGTCACGAATGTAATCATCATCAAACACACCATACTTCACCAAGAAATCAATCAATCATAAACCTATCACAGAGTTTCACCATAATTTCAACGAAAGAAACAGATTCGATATCACCTGAGAAAAGCACACCTCAGTAAAGCAGAACGCAACAGACACTTCGTTTGACGGAGATGCAGACCCATATGACTTCACGAATGCAGCGGAAGAATCTTCAAGATCGATCACGGCAGCAAGCCAAATGCCAACTAGTATACCATATTAAACCTCTGAGAATACTGAAGAACACAGGTAATAGCAATTGTGAAGCTGAGAGAAGAATCGAAGAGAGAGAGAGAGAGAGAGAAAAAGAGAGAGAATGATACTGATTTCCTTCAATTGTAATGTGTTTACAAGGAATACTTTCTCTAAAGTATTACACTCTAGATTATATAGTTTTCCAACCTTTTACATTATTACAAAAGCACCCTTTAACTATCTGTTCTTCTCAATACAATTCCAACTAACTCAACAACTCTATATTTGACTAGTGTCAGCCATTACAGAGTACTGAATTTCTGCATAGAAAAACTAATGAAAAGTCCAAAAAAAACTTTAATTTTAATGAAAAATAACAAATAAGGTGTAAGTGAATAGTATCAAAAAAAGGTAAAAATTTGGTTTTTCATTAAAAGTAAATAATATCAGGAATATTTTGTTAAAACTCCGTATTTCAAGTTGGTACAGTAAGAGGATGGAGTACTTCATGCGTGAGGCAAGTTATATTACACAAATTCGTGTGGAATACATAGTTGTATACGGAGTTTTTTGTAAACGAAGCTAAAAGTACAACTTTCTTTGTGTACTTTCTATTTTTAAATGTGATTTAAGTCCTTTGATGAAAGTGAAGGTCTGAAATTGCTGAAAATATACTTAGCTACTTCTATATAATTTGATTTAATATTAATTAATTTTATATCTACTTTTAATGTCACATCCCGATTCGGGGGGATCACTTTCCGGGTTCGCTCTGCCATCGTAGCACGATATTATCCGTTTTGGACCCCGACTACGCCCTCACGACTCACACGAGAACTTCCCGATGGGTCACCCATCATGCGAGTGCTCTCGCGCGCTACTCACTTAACTTCGGAGTTTCTATGGAACCCGAAGCCAATGAGCTCCCAAAAGGCCTCGTGCTAGGTAGGGATGAGAATATACATTTAATGATCACTCCCCTAGGCGATGTAGAATGTCACAATCCACCCCCCTTAGGAGCCCGACGTCCTCGTCGGCACACACGCGACCAGGGTTAGACTCAGATACCAAATTGTCACATCCCGGCCCGGGGCGAATCACTTCTCGGCTCCGCTCTACCACCGTAGCACGATATTGTCCACTTCGGGCCCCGACCACACCCTCATGGTTTTGTTTCTGGGAACTCACACGAGAACTTCCCTATGGGTCACCTATCCTGGGAGTGCTCTCGCGTGCTACTCGTTTAACTTCGGAGTTCCCATGAAACCCGAAGCCAGTGAGCTCCCAAAAGGTCTCATGCTAAGTAGGGATGAGAATATACATTTAAAGATCACTCCCCTGGACGATGTGGGATGTCACACTTAAACCTTTTAAGGGTATATAATATGCTTGAATTGCTTAATTTGTTAGTTCAAAGTTCCAAATCAATTCATTTGCAGCAAGCAACCAGAAAAGTCACAGAAAACGAAAGGAGAAAGTATTGGTTGATGATGTAATTCAAGGCCCTGTTTCACTGTTATTCCTAATTCCTAATTCCAAATTATGAAACTAATACAAATTATATACATCAGTGTGAAATTAATTAATTGCAAACAATTCATTAATTCATGCCCAATGACATAGGCATATCCCATGTTTGTTGATGAATGCAAATTTCAAACAACGAAAATTCAGAGTAATAAGCAAAAAGAACTTACAATGAGAAGCACAAAGAGAAAGACAACGATTGATATCTGATACATCTCACAATTTGAAAAATCAGACAAAAAAATTTTCATTCATTTACGGAGGATAAAATATAATGTGGATTCAGTTGTTTTTATTTATTTTTGAATAATTTTAGAAATGAGTGTGTTAAATTTTGATTACGGTTTCAAACCTGCAATGGAACGTGGGTTTCTTTGGTAGTTCGTAACAATACATTTATGATTGACAAATTTTCAGAATTAATATATTATTTTGGTACGTGAAACGTAACCAATCAAAGGTTAATTTATTATTCTAATATATCATATATATATATATATATATATATATATGCAAATAATCTAAACCTAAAAGAATAAATTTTTATTGTGGAATTGGAAACCCTGTAGTCTTAACACATGCTTGCTTTCTTTCTGGCTTCTTAGTCACTGTTGAACTATGGAATTGGATTCCTCAGACGCAGCTGAATGCCGACGGGAATGAGATTTGTCGCCGCCGTCAAAATGTCTTGCTGGGCTTCTTTTGCCACCTCAATTGCATCTCTGGGTTTATGGAACTCCTTGGTCTAGGGGCAGATTCGAGCATGCAAACCTCGAATGTTGTTGTTGGGACTTTCCTGAGTCGAGTAGATGAGGTTGCAGGGCCGGCCGCAACCGGAAAACTTATGAAATCCGCCTTGGGTTCGACGGGTGCGGATTAAGATTGATGGAAGGTATGGTTGTGTTGGTTTGGAGAAGGAGATGAAATTGATGATTTTTGGGTTTGTCGTTCAAACGGTGAGTCGCTACGCGGCATCGAGAGAGGGAAGAGGGATTTGGATCCTCTCAGCATCCTCTTGACCAACCATCGTAGACCGTTGGATGAAAATTCAACGGTTATAATTATTATAATTTTAAGGAAATCTTCTGTTTATAATCGTTGGATAAAAATTTAACGGTCCACGATAATTGGTCAGGAAGATCCTCTCCATTGCCTCAGGAGAGGATCCAAATCCAGGGAAGAGGGAAGAAGAAAACAAAAATGTACATAAATTTTCTCAGACAGTGGTAGAAACGTAATTGAGCAAACTTAGTTGGGACAAAATAGGAAGAACACTATGCTTACGAACAGTGAATTAGTTATACTTGGGGTTTAGTTGCCTATTTAAAATAAGTAAATAATGTGGAAAAGGGAGAAAAAGAAGACAAAAATGCAACTAATTAGTAACACAGTAATACGCAGAATCGACTCAAAATAGATGGAAAGTTAAATAAATAATTACCTTGTCTGTTTTTTGCAAAAATTAACTTGACCCTTATTAATTTGATTTGAATTATCAAATGTAATGACATTGACACTTGTTTGGATTGTGTTTATATTATTGGAAAACGCATTGTCAAGAATTTTTTGTCTTTTGTTCTAATATTCAAAGCCTGGTTTATTACAAACTTTTATGTCACTAAGAACCAACAAAATGGCCTTCTTGTATTATTTGATTGCGTTTGCTAGTTCTACACCCTCTTAACATGGTATAAAAAAGTTCAAACTCCAAACAACAGATAATTCACTGAGAATCCTTAAAAAAAAAAAAAAAAATCAATTATTAATACTTAACAATAAAGAAACTAAAATGAAGCAAAACACATAACAGTCACATTTGAAACTAAAACCGAATGCAGAAAACCAATATCAATAATGAGTCAAAGAACCTCAAATTACTATCTTTTACAATTGAAACTATATTATAGAATGTTAATTTTTAGCTAATTTTTTATGACAGAAAATAAAATAATTTGAAGCTAAATTAATTAAGTGTTAAATGTTTAGCCCTCAAATATTTTTAGGCATACCATATCAACAGTCATTACTTAAAGTAGTATAGTTGTTTAAAACAAATACTTTGGCTTATCACTTGCAGTCATGTTTCCAATTGCTCCATTTCTTGTGATTTATTAATTTTTCTTCTCTAATCAAGGGAAATTACAAAATCATATTGAAACCCCCAGTTGAAGCACATTAATAATCTAACTAATGAATGTGATTCGAGAAACAAACGTTGTACCGATCTGATCTCGCCCCTGCATTGCTCGTTCCAACACAACACTTTGTACACAAAATTCCCCCCCAAAAAAAAAATCAATAGGTAACTTGCTAAATAGATTAATGTAGGTAGATGTGAATTTGAATGTCTTAAAGCTCAAAAATTGTAAAATTTTATAGAAAAGTTTTGGTCAGACCTTATTTCAAAAATATTGTTATGTTCTCCTTCAGGCTGCGGAACAACTCCTTCACCAAAACTGATTTACATAACCTGTTTCAAGTCTAATCATTATAAGTCAATTTGGAGATTTAATAAAAAATCTCAGAAATTAAATGAATAATTCAGATAAAAAAAATTATATCAAAAGAACCCATAACTTTAAAAGAAAAATTGTCCTAAATCCTGCAAATTTAAACAAAGAATTCTTAAAAAAAGGTAAATCGATCTGATAAAGACTTAATTTCATAAATATGAAACCGTATGCATGCCATTCCTAATACTAGTGTTGGTATTACCTTAGTCTAGAGAAGGGATTCCAATTACACTATTCAAATAAACAGTGTTTGGGTTCGAATTTTAGTTTAATTACGGCCATGCCATTGCTTTAATGAGTGGGCTTTGTGGAAGGTTTGGGTTCGGGCTGGGGTTTTTGTTTTTGGATTTGGGCGATGGGCTTTGTGGGTTTGGGCTGTGGCTGGTTTCGGTACGGGGTGAGGTGGATGCGGTGACTCACCCACGAAGGCTAACCACCGGCAGCCTGCAGAATGACAGAGAGAAGAGGAAAGATGGAAGAGTCGTGGGTGAGAGAAGAGAAGAGAGGGAAGAGTCGTGCGTTGCAAAAGGGATGGGAAGAAAGACGGGAGGAGAGAGGGAGGGGTAGGATGAGCGAAGCAAGGGTAGGGGTGCCCGAAAGTTTGGTTCTGTTTTGGTCGACAACGGGTGCGCAGAGAGACGGCGAGGCAGGGAGGGAGGGCTAGGGGTAGGGCTGCTTTCAGAATTTTGGTTCCAGCTGGAGGCCATTTCCGCAAGAATTGATGGGGATGGAATGATTGTGTGCAGTTTGTGGGGTTGGCCGGTCAGGAAGGAGTTACTGAGGAAGGTATGGGAGAGTTTGATTTCTCTGTTTCCTCCCTTGATTCAACAGGTAATGCACTGTTTTCAGTTGGTGTGTCCTCTGACTCAAATTTAAAAATGATTCAACAGCTATCTGCGTAAGTAACATTCTAGAGCAGTACAGATACCCGTTAAACGTTCGATTATTTTTTAGCTTTTGTTGTGTGGTTCATGCGATTAGTGTTTCGTTCTGACATTCAAAGTGTCTCTAACAGTGGGGTGCTGCGGGCCAGAAGGGGAGAAATTGGCAATGGAGGTATGCTTATTCAACTGTAACATTTATCCTTGTGGTCATAGATCGTCAGCTCAGCTCAGAGTAGCGGCCGTTGTCTTACCCTATTCATCTAATAGTCATGCTTAATTCATTTCCTTTCTTTGCAGTAACTGGAAAGGAGAGAATGTGAATATGATTCAAAGACTCTCGTCGACTTTTATAAGGTAAGAGTGGCTTGAATATTAGTCCACTTTCACGCCTGGACTAATCGGTTTTCTTTACATTTGGGATTTTTTGTTATTGTTTTGTACTGCTTGCCATAATATCTATTTTCTTTGTGCACAGGAAGGGGAGTTCTCTGAGACTGAGCCTTCCTTGACAGGAGTTATTGTGTAGTCATTTTGTTGTAGATCCCTCATTTCCTGCACCCACAGTTCTAAAAATCCCCACCTAGCGGGGCCTAGGTACTAGGCGGCTGGTCACCATCTCGATTAATGTTTAGGTGTTTGAAAATTAAGAAAGGAGGCGCCCGCCTAGACCGCTTAAGCACTCGCTTAGCTCGCCCAGACCCGCCTAGATTGTGACTCACTTAGACAAAAAATAGATAACTTTCATTTTATATTTTATTTTTTATAATGAATTATTAGGGACTTGTTGTATACTTAAATAAACACACATTATATGCTTGTTTCCCATGTTTTCATTATGTTCTAATACTTCGTAATATATATATATATATATATATATATATATATCATTCTACTTTGTACTTTATGATGAAATTATATATAATTTAAGTATAGACAGACATTTATATACATGAAATATAATAGATTTACTTAAATTCGTCTAATCCGCCTAAGTGTTAGGCCCTAGCATGCCGCCCGACTAATGCCTAGCGTCTTTTAGAACCTTACCAGCACCTCATTAAATTTATCCTACGTAAAATTTAGAAATGCTGTGTTGTGCCAAGTATCCCGCACCTAACTTGTTCATGATATTGCAGTTTCATGTCCACTCCAGACAAAGAATCGAACAAGTATTACCTCGGTCCTGCTCCATTGGAGGACATGGCAAGGTAATGCAGATCGCAATTTGCTTCTGGTTTTAGCGGTGTTGATGATGGTTGTCATTACTTTTGCAATGAAGTTTTATCTCTCAACAGCTTCCACTGATCATTAAGTATTTCTCTTTCAGGCAAATTGCAACAGCTTTTGGGCCCTGCGGAAACAATAGAGACTATCTCTTTCTGTTGGAGAAGGCTATGTTCGATATAGGTGAGCAAACTCGTTACCCACATTCCTGTTTACGAATCAAAGTTATCTGTGCAAGGTCCATGACCGGATGTTTCTTAGTTCTTTATTAAATTCGTGTAGATGTTAATACTGAGTAGAGAATTTCTGACATGGTCAGGCCATGAAGAGGACTATGTGATAGAGCTAGCAAATGAGGTGAGGAAGGTTCTTGGGATAGCCGGAAAAGGATTTCCAAAGGAGAAGAAGTTGGCCGGGCCAACCCACCTCCCGCTCAAGTCCAACATCCCGGCCCTCCAACTGCACCCGCTGCCAGAAGCCATCGCCATGGACTCGTAACATTTGAACACAGATGAAGATGCAGATTGCTAACCCCATATAGCCATCTCCCTCGTTTCAGATTAATATCCTTTCGGCTTTTTTCAGTCCCCTCGTTTTGGTCAAGCTTATTTTTCAGAGGAATTTGATGATGCCGTAGAAGAGATTAGTTGTGAGGAAAAACTAACTGCTGTTCTTCTCTCTTTCACTTTTAACATTTTGATACAATGTGGGATGCAATTCATTAACATTTATTAACAAGGGTTCGTTAATCGTGATATATGAACTCATTCGGAAAGAGCAATTCATTAACATAAGGGTTCTGAACCTCAGCAGATGCAAAGGTAATCTTTTCAATCTAATAATTTATGAACAAACAAATTGTTCGAGTTTCAGAATGCTGTCACTGCGTCTCAGCACTCTCACCGATTGGAGGACGTACTTGCACTTTGTTTTGTGATTCGAAACAATGTGGAGTTGGACCCTACTTTGCTAGTTCAATCTTCATATGCAAGTGCAACACCAAACCTCCGCCACGCAAAGTAATGCTCACAACACAACATTCAAGTCAGAAGATCAACTGATTCCGAATTTGTACTTCTGATCGGTTACGCTTGAAGAACAATTAACGGATACCAGTACAGCACTTGGAGCCTTCTCTTCATCCTCACCATCTCCCCCCTCCTCAAAGATCGCATCAGATTCCATGCAGCTTTTGTGGTTTTGAACTACAATGCAATTATATTCCCCGGCAACAGTTCCTTCTGCATTGCTTTCAATACTGAGATCAAACCTTATTCTTTTGTGAGATCGATTCTCATCGTATGAGTCATCACCAGGTCTTGCTGCCTCATGATTTCTGCCTTCCTTGTATTCACTTGAATATGACCTGGACTCACAGTCAAGCGTATATTCATTGATTTCCTCCGTAGGCTGGACACCCCTTAACCATGAAGGTCCAGGAAGAAAAAGGCCACCATTTCCGCTCGCACTCCATCCCTATACCATGCGCAGCAAGATTTGTAAGAGTAATTAATACATGCATGCATGCATAAATAAGAGAGAGAGAGAGAGAGAGAGAGGACCCGTTGGATTGCTTCCAGAAAAGCATCATTGAGATTGGTGCACCCTTCCATATGAATCCTTGTCATGGAGGTTAACGACTTATCCAGGCCTGGAATTTCAGTGAGTTTGGGGGAGTAATTCAGATGCAATTCTCTCAAACTCGACATCTCCGAAAAATCTGGCATTCTTTCCAATGTAACGCACTGATTCGCTTCCAGGATTTCCAACCTTGTCGGTAAATTCGGAATTGCCTGAAGCTTTGTGCAATTACCCAACTGTAAAGTTTGAAGCTTGGAAAGGCCAGTGACGATAGGTAGTGCAGTAAAATCATTGCCTCTTAGATCTAAAACTTCTAAAGAAGATATAGACCCGAGATCCTCAGGAATTGCATCATTTGTTAAATTGGAGTTCGCAAGAGAGAGATATTTAAGGCACTTCAGTTGTACTATGGAAGGGTGAACCTCGGACAAACTCTTGCAGTCTCTGAGTATCAATCTCTCGAGATTGGGGAGTTTTGAAAAGTCTGGTGATCTTTTTAGGCGACAGCAATAACCTAGATTAAGAAACTTCAATTTCTCAAGCCGCTGTGACACAAAAACGAAAACAAAATTAAAATCCAAACAGAAGAGAGAAAGCATGATGTCAGTACTTACAAAACCTGGAAGAAAGAATCAATAGCTTGGTTAAAATTATGCAGTACCACGTCGGAGTCCGTCCAAACTTGCATTTGGCTATGACTCAGGTCGACATCAACTAGGTTTGGTAGATTAAAATCTTCTGGCATGACCTCTAGAGGAAACTCAGGCCAACACAGCCATGTTAGCTTTTTGGAAAGATATGTGCAGTTTCCCGTGAACTTCACACCTTTCAGCATGAGCAACCTCAGTCTCCGCATCTCTCTAAGTGCTTCTGTACTGAAGCTAGGCTTGTCAGATTCATGCAAATCTAAAGTGAGTCCTTCAACGTCCTCCGTTCCCTGTTAGAAAAGAAAAAAAAAAAAAAAAAAAAAAAAAGGTAAGAAAGGGACAGCGAAAAGACGATTTATACACGAAGCAAAGCCATGAATTGGATCCATCAAGTAAGAAGTAAATATGAAAAGGGTTATTTGTATGTGGGATATGCATACACTTATCTTTCATTGCATACATTCTTATACTACAATTTGATTGCAAATGTACTTACAGATATGTTACTCAATACGTCTTTTACATCGTCCTGGTCCCACAATCTACAACGTTTTCCAGTGATGGTAGGAGATTTTGCACGTACAATTTCTCTGCCCATATCTCGAAGCAAATCATGCATTATAAGGTTGTTTCCTTCATCAACAGTTACAAGGCACCGATCATGGAGTTCTCCAATTCCTATATCTGGGTCGAAGTCACAGCCATCTAATATTGTCATGACATAGTCCTTGTTCATTCCAATAAAGAAACAAGATATGTCGAGGAATATAGCCTTCACGTCATCGTCAATTAGCCCATCGTAGCTCATTTTAAGCTTTTCATAAATCTTCCCATGAGGCTTTCTTTTCAATTTGCGCAGTGCACTTCTCCATTCTCTTTTGGTTTTTGAACTTAGATAAGAACCTAAAACTTCAAGCGCTAGTGGCAACCCTCCACAGTAATCAACAACCTTATTTGCGAGTTCGAGATATTCATCATCGTTAGGATGACTCTTCCTGAAGGCACGCCAACTAAGAAGCTGAAGAGCTTCTTCATTATTCATTGTTTGTGCCAAACACGTCTTATCGACTCTAATGAACTTTAGCAATTGTTCATCTCTTGTTGTTACAATAATTCTACTCCCTCGACCAAACGACTCGTGTTTTATAGCCAACTCTTCTAGTTGATCCACAGATTCTATGTCATCAATTATGACAAGTACCTTTATGCCGCCAAGTCTTTTTTGTATCTCCTTGGTTCCTTGATCCACACTACTTACCTCTATGTTGGCCGGTTTCAAGATATCACAAAGAAGTTGGTTTTGCAGTTTAACCATACTCTCTTCCCTCACTTTTGAAAGGAAACTTTTACCTTCAAAGCTTTGATGAACTCTGTTGAACATGGCTTTTGCAACCGTTGTCTTCCCCGTTCCAACCATGCCCAAAATTCCAACAATGCGGACATCATCTGATCCTCCAACATCTAAATCATTGATGATTTCTTGCACTCTATAATCTATTCCAATTTCTTTGGCAGCCACGTTTAAGTATGTGTTGTTCAGTTTTCTAGTGATGTCGTTGACAATTTTCCTTATAAACTTACCTTCGTACCTGTTAACAAAAATTTCCAAAGTAAAAAGAAGTAAGAATCATAAACTGCAGGATTAAACTCAACTAATAACTTTGTCATGATAACAACAAAACAATGGCACATTATATTGATCCATGTGATTAGCTCAATTCGACCAAACTGATAGATCAAGCGTTTAGAAATACTCTCTCTCTCTCTCTCTCTCTCTCTCTCTCTCTCTCTCTCTCTCTCTCTCTCTCTCTCTCTCTCTCACACACACACACACACACACACACACGCACATCAGGTTTCTAGTCTTTGCATTAGCAGCATTACAATGTGTAAACTGATCAAGGTTCGCATTAGCAGCATTACAATGTGTAAACTGATCAAGGTTCTAAGCCCTATCATTTTATAGTTTATTGACATTTTGTAGTAGAGGCTTAAGAAAAGCCAACACTTGAAGTTGGCAATTAAAGGTTGCTAAACCAAAACTAATACATCAACATCGTAACTAGCATGATGGCGAACACGGGCTATAATCCAGGTACTTTTTTCGTGAAAAGTTTGAATATAATCCGCATATCAATATATATCTTAAAGTGTAATTCACCCAAATTAAGCCTAACTCATGTTAATTTGTATGTTTACTCAATTTATTAAAACAATCCCTTCATGACTCTAGTTTTTAATCTTAAGTCTCTATGGCTTATTGATTCTCCATATTATCTCTTGAATTTCCGTCGAAAATTCTTTTTAGCAACCAACAAGTCACCCTATAACAATTTGCTAGCCCACCCTGGTAAAAATTTCTGGTTCCACACTTGTAATACATCATCCTGTAAAATACATGCTATGTATGTAAAAACAGTAAGTTAAAAAGTA